AATCCTTGGTGGCTTTCGAAATTCGTTCCAAGTTCCTTGTTCGAGGCATTGAGGCACTTTCACCACATGCTTTCAGTCCTCTGAGAAGCGGGTCGTAGTCATTCGTTGGGTCCTCCTCGATGGGCCAGTCACAAGTGGTCAGAAGCTCCTCCGGTCTGGCGCCGTCGTATACGACTTCTCTCTTTCCTCCAACATAGTAAGAGATCTACTTTTCCAGCTTTTGCCTGAATCGCACTCTTGCTCGAAGGAGACGGTGATCTGAGCTACTGCTCATGGATGGTATGCAGCAAGCACCACCTTCAGGTGGTGAAAATGTGGTCCATCTCCGCTTGAGTAGTACCGTTGGATGACTCCCATGTCTACCGCTGGTGTTTCTTCGAGTTGCCATGAAGTCGTGCGGCGGATTAGAGTCAAAACGATTACAATTCTCGTTTCAGAGTCCTAATCCAAATCTCCCGATCACAAGCACCCCTTTTTCGAACATCCCGATTTTCGCATTGAAGTTATAGAAGAGTTATAGAAGGAATTTCCTTTGCCGATAACTTCCGCCAAATCCTCATAAGCATCAGGTTCTCAGTCGTCAGCTGCTGATTTTGGAGAATCAGTTCAGAGGACGGAGTCGAAGGATAGCCAGGTGAGGTGATGGGATTTCATGCGAAGCGACAAGATAGACAACAGATGGGTGTACGACAACGAAACTTTCTCTAATGATGAGTGTGCCATCACTCAGCTGTATCACGTCCGTCTTCCTTGACTTTGTTTTCTGCATGACGATTAAGTGATAATAGATGCGTCCTGCAGCTTCGAGAAGGACGTGAAAATGGGCCTTTGTAGAGACGGTCCTGGCGTTGTAGGTGCAGGGCATGTGATAATCTTCGAGGGGAATCGTTGACGTGTCCTTTTGGCGAAAACCATGTCGTCCTGTGCAACTTGAGATTGGTCTTGATGACATCCGAGCCGGAGATGTAATTCAGTGTGCAGGGCTTCTTTTCCTATCAAATGCGTACAGATAATAGTATAAATCCCAAAGCAGCCTAACCAGGGCCTGAAAAGCTTTCACCGCAGGCAATCACTGACCTAAGTGGGAACCAAATAGCGACTTAATCAGCCAGATGGTGGGGCTTCTGGTATGGCGTACTCTTAGCTGGGCATCCGGAGCTGGAAATGTCAAACTCCTTCTCTTTGGGAGACCCTGCTCGAGGATAAACTTTCGCTGTACTTCGCAGAAACCCAGGGTCACCTCCGTGCCACGATGAGGCCGTATACCATCACGTGGGTTTTGAACATAATAATGTGATAATGTCACTAAAGCGCCTCACCTATCTCATCTAATTCTTGACATGCATAGGTCTTTTCAGAAGCAGGTGTATCTTTTCTATGTTTGTTCTGATATCATCACTTCCGAAAAATACCAACAACCTCCGTTTTGCGAGGTGACAGTTTCACTCAAGTCCTCGCGACATAGTGGAGTCATGCTAGTAATAACTCCTAACTATTTAGAAATCGATGAAATACTTTACAGCAGGTGCTGTTGCATCGGCAACGAGGAAAAAAGCTGCACTTCTTAACAATAAAAGGCTTTGTCCACTAACTTATAAAATCTGGGAATGATGGAAATAAAATAGTATCTTTGTACATTCTCACCGGGTAAAAGCCGTTGCGCATGGCTCGTTTTTGATATCTCATTTACACGACGATCGAATCTGAGCAAATAATTGAATTCGTTATATCTTCTCTCCAT